ATCCTGCTTCTAATATACTGCATGTCAACGACCTGACAGAGGAAATTGGCTCCTTCACACCAATGTTTGTAGGTGATGTAAAACTGATGAGACGAGTCACGTCAGTGATAGATTGTGATGCACTGTAAACGGATTTGGACATGCTCCCGAAGTGGTCTGAAATTTGGCTGCTAGAGTTCAAACCAACCAAATGCAAAGTTATGAGGATTGGAATAAGTGTGAAGACTAATTCAGCAGTGTGCGATGAAGGGAAGACAGATTCTTCCATCAGAATAAGAGAATCACCTCGGAGTGGACATAACCCGAAATCTAATGCGAGAATCTAATATTAGCAGAATAATATAAACTACATATTGTCCAACATCCGTGTACCTTTCAGAAATTGGACAATGGAGCTTTCGGTGCCTTATATACAGTGAAGGTGAGACCCGCTCCTGATAATGCAGCCCTAGTATGGAACCCTTACCTGAAAAAGACAGGATTTTGACTAGGAAATGTCAAAATATATGTAACAAGACTCGTTCATGAATTGAAGGAATTGGGCAATGAAGATAGACTCAGAAACCTTGTCCTTACCAAACACTGGACGAAAGAAGATAGAGAAAAACATGATACCAACATATAATATTCTAATGGAAATTGACAAAGTAGACAAAACATCATTGTTCAAAGTTAGGAACGCAGAATGAGAGATCAAAGATGGAAACTAGAGACGCAAATGAGTCACAGAGACGTCAGAAAGAACTTTTTAAGCGTTAAAGCATTCAATAAATGGAAAAGTTTAGATGCAGAAGTCGCTGAAGGTAATGCCATTCTAAATTTCAGATGTAAATATGCTATAAGGCTGAGAAACGAGTCATTGCATTAATCTAAAAACGCTGGTAAGGCTGGGCTAGGAGACTAGCTCAACCCTGCAAGCACATCTAGATGAGAACACACACATTAACACATGCTAACACACACACTACCACTTCCATGTAAACAAACACACGCTTGCACATAAATACTCTAACACACAGAATGTTAAGTAAATGGAATGCACTAGGAAGTGATGTGCGGGAGGCTGACTCTATACACAGTTTCAAATGAAGATATGATAGAGCTCGAGAAGCTTAAGATTCTGTTCACCAGTAGACTGATTGTTAAGAAGCGGGACCAAAGAGCCGAAGCTCAACCCCCGTAAACACAACTCGGTGAGTACACACTAGCAAACACATGCTCTAGCACTCACTAACACATACCTGCCCCCAAAAAACGCAGAAACACTTTTTAGCCCAAACACACACACTAATACACAACAGACACGCAAGACATACATGCACACAATCATTAAAGTTAGAAGGATACCAGTTGCTAGTTTCGGAACTCATGCATATAGACTCAATCACTACAGGAACTTCAGACAGTGTAATTAAAACAAGAATTTACGTCCCTTAGGAAAACATGTTACAGTATATAGAAACAAAAGCGTTTACAAGCGAAGTCAAGTTCAGAGACATCTCTGATATTATATATATATATATATATATATATATATATATATATATATATATATGCAAACAAGCCTGAATGGTCCCCAGGACAATATGCAACTGAAAACTCACACCCCAGAAGTGACTCGAACCCATACTCCCAGGAGCAACGCAACTGGTATGTACAAGACGCCTTAATCCACTTGACCATCACGACCGGACAAAATGAGGTGATAGCCGAGGCTATTTGAACCACCCTACCGCCGGCACTCGGATAGTAATCTTGGGCATAGCATTTTACCAAATCACCTCATTCGTTGGGGCACACGTGAGGAACACAAATGCGAACAAGCCTGAATGGTCCCCAGGACAATATGCAACTGAAAACTCACACCCCAGAAGTGACTCGAACCCATACTCCCAGGAGCAATGCAACTGGTATGTACAAGACGCCTTAATCCACTTGACCATCACGACCGGACAAAATGAGGTGATAGCCGAGGCTATTTGAACCACCCCACCGCCGGCACTCGGATAGTAATCTTGGGCATAGCATTTTACCAAATCACCTCATTCTTTGGGGCACACGTGAGGAACACAAATGCGAACAAGCCTGAATGGTCCCCAGGACAATATGCAACTGAAAACTCACACCCCAGAAGTGACTCGAACCCATACTCCCAGGAGCAACGCAACTGGTATGTACAAGATGCCTTAATCCACTTGACCATCACGACCGGACAAAATGAGGTGATAGCCGAGGCTATTTGAACCACCCCACCGCCGGCACTCGGATAGTAATCTTGGGCATAGCATTTTACCAAATCACCTCATTCTTTGGGGCACACGTGAGGAACACAAATGCGAACAAGCCTGAATGGTCCCCAGGACAATATGCAACTGAAAACTCACACCCCAGAAGTGACTCGAACCCATACTCCCAGGAGCAACGCAACTGGTATGTACAAGACGCCTTAATCCACTTGACCATCACGACCGGACAAAATGAGGTGATAGCCGAGGCTATTTGAACCACCCCACCGCCGGCACTCGGATAGTAATCTTGGGCATAGCATTTTACCAAATCACCTCAAACTTTGGGGCACACGTGAGGAACACAAATGCGAACAAGCCTGAATGGTCCCCAGGACAATATGCAACTGAAAACTCACACCCCAGAAGTGACTCGAACCCATACTCCCAGGAGCAACGCAACTGGTATGTACAAGACGCCTTAATCCACTTGACCATCACGACCGGACAAAATGAGGTGATAGCCGAGGCTATTTGAACCACCCCACCGCCGGCACTCGGATAGTAATCTTGGGCATAGCAATTGAGGTAGAATTGAGGTGATTTGGTAAAATGCTATGCCCAAGATTACTATCCGAGTGCCGGCGGTGGGGTGGTTCAAATAGCCTCGGCAATCACCTCATTTTGTCCGGTCGTGATGGTCAAGTGGATTAAGGCGTCTTGTACATACCAGTTGCGTTGCTCCTGGGAGTATGGGTTCGAGTCACTTCTGGGGTGTGAGTTTTCAGTTGCATATTGTCCTGGGGACCATTCAGGCTTGTTCGCATTTGTGTTCCTCACGTGTGCCCCAAAGAATGAGGTGATTTGGTAAAATGCTATGCCCAAGATTACTATCCGAGTGCCGGCGGTGGGGTGGTTCAAATAGCCTCGGCTATCACCTCATTTTGTCCGGTCATGATGGTCAAGTGGATTAAGGCGTCTTGTATATACCAGTTGCGTTGCTCCTGGGAGTATGGGTTCGAGTCACTTCTGGGGTGTGAGTTTTCAGTTGTATATTGTCCTGGGGACCATTCAGGCTTGTTCGCATTTGTGTTCCTCACGTGTGCCCCAAAGAATGAGGTGATTTGGTAAAATGCTATGCCCAAGATTACTATCCGAGTGCCGGCGGTGGGGTGGTTCAAATAGCCTCGGCTATCACCTCATTTTGTCCGGTCGTGATGGTCAAGTGGATTAAGGCGTCTTGTACATACCAGTTGCGTTGCTCCTGGGAGTATGGGTTCGAGTCACTTCTGGGGTGTGAGTTTTCAGTTGCATATTGTCCTGGGGACCATTCAGGCTTGTTCGCATTTGTGTTCCTCACGTGTGCCCCAAAGAATGAGGTGATTTGGTAAAATGCTATGCCCAAGATTACTATCCGAGTGCCGGCGGTGGGGTGGTTCAAATAGCCTCGGCTATCACCTCATTTTGTCCGGTCGTGATGGTCAAGTGGATTAAGGCGTCTTGTACATACCAGTTGCGTTGCTCCTGGGAGTATGGGTTCGAGTCACTTCTGGGGTGTGAGTTTTCAGTTTGATATATATATATATATATATATATATATATATATATATATATATATATATATATATATATATATATATATATATATATATATGAGACAGTGCCGAGTGCTGTTGGGTCATTGAAAGAAATAGCCTAAGGCTACCAATGACTTTCAACAGTCTGGTAGCCATTTGGTCAGAGTACTGGACTTGTCAGTGTGTTCATTACATCTGTCAGTCTAAGGTTTGAACCTTTCACCTAGAGGAGCGCTTGCTGATGTGTGTGTGTGTGTGTGTGTGTGTGTGTGTGTGTGTGTGTGTGTGTACCAGATAGTGTTTGTAACCTGTCCATGTAGTTCAACCAACTGGGTGAGAGGGTGGATAAGTAACCTGATACTCTTCAGATAAGGGAATCATCACATCCACAAACACGGAGTCTCAATGTTTACTTCTTACCACTAGGACTCCGATTCAGGTTTTCTTTCGTTGTTAGAACTAAGGCCAGGCAAAAGCAGTGAACAAAGTCTACTTCTTGTGAGCCAGAAATTAAATTCAACAAAAATAAAAAATAAAAAACTACAAGAAATTGAGACATGATCACTCTATCACAGTAAGGTAGGTTAGAGTGAGAGGCATGTGCTATTGTCTCCTAGCAAGCCAAGTGAGGATGAGAGGCGTGTATTACTCTCTCCTAGCAATGCAGATGAGGGTGAGAGGCATGTGCTATTCTCTCCTAGCAAGACAGATGAGGATGAGAGGCATGTGCTATTCTCTCCTAGCAAGACAAACGTGAGTGAGGGGCGTGTGTTACTCTCCCAGCAAGGCAGGTGAGAGGCGGGATGTGACTCCTAGCATCTCGCTCTCGTCCAGGTACGATACTTACCGTCTTAGCGATAATCAGGTCCAGCAACCGCCGTGGACGGGGTGGAGAGGCCGGCTGGACAAGGCAAGATTTGAAATACCCTTTAGAATTAGCTCTACATAGAGGACTTCTAACCAAAAATTGAACCCTTCACTAGCCACTCTTTTTATTTCTCTATTCCTCTTTTTATGGGATTCTAATCTAGTGTGGGAGTTAAAAAGGTGGTAGCGGTGGCGGGCGATAAGAGTGGCCGAGACTGGGCCAGGGAGTGGGATGAGAAGGGCATTATATAATGGTCGCTTGCATGTCGCAACTCACTAGGGATTCTCTCGGCTATCTCGTCAAGCAGATTTATCAATCCATTCAAAGATGTGAGCGTGAAGGGGGATACATACAGACAAACAGGCAAACGAACAAGGAATATAACACAGTAAGAGAGCTAATGGTGCCGGAACATCACAACATCACTTCCACTGTACAGCTGAGAACACTGAGGGACTAAGCCTGGCTAAGTCTGCCCTACCTGCATCCTACACAACACTACACCTATCATGGCACATCTTCCTCTATACATTTTGTCTTAAAACTAAATCGAAGGAGGGAAGTTGGCAAGGAGGGATGGAGGAAGGCATGACAAAAATGGTATTCCACTAAGTACCAAAAAAATAATAAAAATGTAAAAAAAGATACTTAAAATATTATCCCTACAGAGAACGTTCCGGCACCTTTAGTTCTTAGTCGTGACGCAGTGTGAAGCTACTTACCATGGCGAAGGTGTGGCCGTCTTCCGTCTGCTCCTGCATGGCCATTTGTAGGGCCGCAGCATGTTCCGCCTCCCACTGCTTCTTCTGCTCGTCGAATTTCTCCTTCATCTTCTCGCGGTGTTTGTCGGACCGCGAGGCGTAGTTGACGAGCGCGAACTCCAGCAGCGCCCCGAAGACAAAGGTGAGACACACGCCGGTCCACACGTCAATGGCCTGAAAGGAGAGAGTGCGACGGGAGTCAACATCTTGTCACCGGCTGCAACACTAAGGACCTACCTCTTGCAACCTATCGCATCCCCCGTATCAATTTGCTCTCAGGAGAGATGACCATAATATTGATAACCACCAAAAACAATGGGAAATATTCCATCAGTTGTGACAACCACAGAAAGATCTATCGCTTCACACGTTATGACAAAACAGCCATGAGCGGACAACTTGGGGCACTCCTGCATGCTGGCGAGGACTTTGTCTAGTAGGAAGGTTGGCGGGACATGCAGACACTGGCGGAGGACCGGGACGGTGCAGAGCTATAAGGGCAGGGGGCAAGGCAGTGCCACAAGGGGACGGGATAACACTCTTTGAAGGGGTTTGGGCACAGCATCAATCGAGGGGGACGGGCAGCAAAGATATAATTGAACGGGGTGAGGTACAGCTACAAAATGGAAGGGGGTGGAGCTGAGCTAAACAGCAAGGGGCTAGGGCGGGGCTCAGACTATCGAAATAGAAAGGAACTGTAGAGGATAGGAGAGGGGTCGAGGAGAGGTGAGGCATGCGCATAGCTACTAAGGATCTGGCGGGGTGAGGAAAGACTGGGGTAAGGAATACCACGCTCCAGTCAGTATAAGCAGCACTACAAGAGGGAAAACGGCCGAGGAAAAAGATGTCTCGCCCGTCGGTAGAGTTGGCCAGGTTGGTAACTTGGCGAAAATCGCCAAGCATCTTGATCTTGAGGTAATGTTTGTCTTTGGTCTGTCTCTCTGTCTGTATTACAGCGCTCTAACCGCCAAACGTTCCGAGTAGTTTTATATTTTCTGATGATATTTCTGAGCGAAATTCCAGAAAATCTTTATTGTTTTTCATCGAGATTGGTGTAAGGTGAACACCAAGGTCTCTCACCAACCTAAGGTGTGACGAGCCAAGGTCAAATATCACTGAGGGGATCGGCGCTTTACCTCCCAAATATTGCCATTTAATTTTCCTTTTTATGCTATAAAAAGTTATATTTGACAGTTTTTAGTGATAGGTCGAGATTAGTAAGAGTCACTAGTCAAAACCCACCGGTCAAAGGTCAGGTCACTAGTAAAATGGCTGGCCAATGGGTTAGTTCACTTGTCAAAGGTCACTGGTCAAAAAGTCAAGTCGAAGGTCACTCGCCCAAATTAATCTATTTGCTTTTTTAAACTCTCACATTATAATGGATTTCAAATGTACAAATTTTATCGGCGATCTATTGCGATTTTCGCCAAGTTCCGACTTAACAACGGCATTTCATTCATATTTGACGTGACGAAGCTACATAGAGGACGGGGCGTGGGAGGACACCCATGGTGGACAGGTGGGAGGACACCCATGGTGGACAGTTGGGTGGACACCCATGGTGGACAGGAGGGTGGACACCCATGGCGGACACCCATGGTGGACAGGTGGGTGGACACCCATGGTGGACAGGTGGGAGGACACCCATGGTGGACAGTTGGGTGGACACCCATGGTGGACAGGTGGGAGGACACCCATGGTGGACAGGAGGGTAGACACCCATGGTGGACAGGAGGGTGGACACCCATGGTGGACAGGAGGGTGGACACCCATGGTGGACGGGAGGGAGGACACCCATGGTGGACAGTTGGGTGGACACCCATGGTGGACAGGTGGGTGGACACCCATGGTGGACACCCATGGTGGACAGTTGGGTGGACACCCATGGTGGACAGGAGGGTGGACACCCATGGTGGACAGGAGGGTGGACACCCATGGTGGACAGGAGGGTGGACACCCATGGTGGACGGGAGGGTGGACACCCATGGTGGACAGGAGGGAGGACACCCATGGTGGACAGGTGGGTGGACACCCATGGTGGACAGGTGGGTGGACACCCATGGTGGACAGGTGGGTGGACACCCATGGTGGACAGTTGGGTGGACACCCATGGTGGACAGGAGGGTGGACACCCATGGTGGACAGGTGGGTGGACACCCATGGTGGACAGTTGGGTGGACACCCATGGTGGACAGTTGGGTGGACACCCATGGTGGACAGGAGGGTGGACACCCATGGTGGACAGGAGGGTGGACACCCATGGTGGACAGTTGGGTGGACACCCATGGTGGACGGGAGGGTGGACACCCATGGTGGACAGGAGGGAGGACACCCATGGTGGACAGGAGGTTGGACACCCATGGTGGACAGGAGGTTGGACACCCATGGTGGACAGGAGGGAGGACACCCATGGTGGACAGGAGGGTGGACACCCATGGTGGACAGGAGGGTGGACACCCATGGTGGACAGGAGGGAGGACACCCATAGTGGACAGGAGGGTGGACACCCATGGTGGACAGGAGGGAGGACACCCATGGTGGACAGGAGGGAGGACACCCATGGTGGATAGGAGGGAGAACACCCATGGTGGACAGGAGGGAGGACACCCATGGTGGACAGGTGGGTGGACACCCATGGTGGACAGGAGGGTGGACACCCATGGTGGACGGGAGGGTAGACACCCATGGTAGACAGGAGGGTGGACACCCATGGTAGACAGGAAGGTAGACACCCATGGTAGACAGGAGGGTAGACACCCATGGTGGACAGGAGGGTGGACACCCATGGTGGACAGGGCGAGGGTGGGCACCCATGGTGGACAGGAGGAGGGTGGACACCCAGGATGAACAAGGAGAAGGTAGGGTGGACACCCAGGATGAACAAGGAGAAGGTAGGGTGCACACCCAGGATGAACAAGGAAAGGGTAGGGTGGACACCCAGGATGAACAAGGAAAGGGTAGGGTGGACACCCAGGATGAACAAGGAGAAGGTAGGGTGGACACCCAGGATGAACAAGGAGAAGGTAGGGTGGACACCCAGGATGAACAAGGAGAAGGTAGGGTGAACACCCAGGATGAACAAGGAAAGGGTAGGGTGGACACCCAGGATGAACAAGGAGAAGGTAGGGTGAACACCCAGGATGAACAAGGAAAGGGTAGGGTGAACACCCAGGATGAACAAGGAGAAGGTAGGGTGAACACCCAGGATGAACAAGGAAAGGGTAGGGTGGACACCCAGGATGAACAAGGAGAAGGTAGGGTGAACACCCAGGATGAACAAGGAAAGGGTAGGGTGGACACCCAGGATGAACAAGGAGAAGGTAGGGTGAACACCCAGGATGAACAAGGAGAAGGTAGGGTGAACACCCAGGATGAACAAGGAGAGTGTAAGTTGTGTTGTGGAACTTTCAGAACTGTTTAAAAAAGCGTAGACGAATAAAAAATTATATATTTTTGTAATGGCAAGAAATCTTATTCCGAAATTTTGAGAATTATTTAAGAAACAGATAGTGAAGTGTGTGAAAAGTTCTGTTGCCCTAACTGTTTTTTTGTTATGGTGGCACGTTATAGTGAACAAAAAGTGCCAAACACCTATGCTGGAACATTCTCCACAGCCTCGGAATACAGTGTTGACACTATAACCCCAATCACCATCATTCTCATTCGACAAATACGACACTTAGTTGCATCCTACAATACTCACACACCATAATCATCACAGACAACATTCATCACTGAACGCTGCAAACATTTCATACGTGAGTCACCACTCATTACAATCACCACACTACAATCATTACAATCCACAAACACCAACACACTACAGCCATTGCAAATTACAATCACAATTGTTCAATAATTACACACTATAGTCACCACATATTATAGTCACCAGACATTATAGTCACCACACATTATAGTTACCACACACTATAGTCACCACACACTATAGTCACCACACACTATAGTCACCACACACTATAGTCACCACACACTATAGTCACCACACACTATAGTCACCACACACTATAGTCACCACACACTGCAATCTTTGCACTACACACTGGGAACTAACATCAACATTTTCATTTTGTGCTTCTTGGAAAACGCAATCACTGAAAGCACACGCGCACACACACACACACACACGAAACTTAATAATAATCTATCTGGTTCCATAAACTGATTTGACGACTCAATTCCAACATAACACACTATTCACCATACTGTGCACACTATACTCACTACTGACATCTCTATCATTATATACCTCACAACTCTTACAGCACATTTCTCACCCCGGTCACCACACATTTCTCATCACCGTCACCACACACTTCTGACCCTTGTCACCACACACCTCTGACACCTGTCACCACACACCTCTGACCTGTCACCACACACCTCTGACACCTGTCACCACACACCTCTGACCTCTGTCACCACACACCTCTGACCTCTGTCACCACACACCTCTGACACCTGTCACCACACACCTCTGACCTGTCACCACACACCTCTGACCTCTGTCACCACACACCTCTGACCTCTGTCACCACACACCTCTGACACCTGTCACCACACACCTCTGACCTCTGTCACCATGCAAGACACAAAATGCAAACACAAGACATATTGGCGCACTAAGTTTAATGATGACCGACTGAGCAAGATATATCTTTCACACTCGGCTGGTCGTGTTGTTTTCTTACTCTGGACCCATGAATGGGTTACTAGTAAGTACTTCTCTGTACTGTGGCAGTAAATCAAGAGCTCTCGATGAGCTGTCAAGGACAAGAGTGTATTACACTCAGTACACTCTTGAACTGAGTGTAAACTTGCTGGAGCCAAGTCCATGTGATAAAAGTATATATGTTTGCATTTGCAACGCAAGCTCATACAAATTTATTTGTGGTTGGTAAAGTATTTCAACCCATCACAACAGATATATTCACACTCCGACTTGTAGAAGTGGACTTTGATCCATCCTGTTCACAGGATGTTTCCTGCAGAATATGAACCATATTATAGGGGTAAGTGGTACGAAATCATTTCTTCGTGGTTTAGTAATGAAAAATTTTGTCTTCGAATTTATATGTCGTTCCTTCAAGCAACATGACAAAATTAACTTTCCACAAGCTTATTGCCTAAGGTGCTAGACTTTGCCAAAGCTGTCGTAAATTAGCTTTCGTCAGATCATAAAATACACAATCAACTGAGAGAGTCTTGACATTGGTGCTCAGGCGGTGTGCTGGCAATCCACATCTACTGTCAGAATAAATTCCACGTTTTCATAAAGGTTTGTAATGATTCGGACACATTTAGGAGCTTCGATTAGTTCTCTTTATGAGAATGAATCTATGGGAAGAATAAGAGGACTGAATACCTATAACCAGGATCTGTATTACGAGTCATAACACAGCACAAAACAGTATCCCTAGAGAATGTATACTATTAATACATACTTATTTCAAAATCCGTTCTGACAGATGCTGCAAACATTCTCTGTCTGCTGGCTTGATCCAGTTTTGTCACCAGACTTTCTAATGTCCGCGAGAGTACTGACGTTGGTGAAGCAATCTAATACGTCTGTAAGGGAGTCTTTGCAGCCGTGATTAAGAGTCAGTGAAAAGCTCAAAGTTCATCAAGCAAACTAGGCATTAGCATGGTTTTCAGTCCGCTCCAACAAAACTGACCCACACACACGTAAGGCAGCGAAGAGCGCTCTAGTCATAACAAGTAGCGGTGAAAACCATCCGTTTTACTAGGAAACAGCCCAAGATTATGTACGAAGCAACAAGAAACTTTTCAGTTGCTTAGTATTCATACAGTTACTGCCAAAGAGCACACACATATACATACACATACACACACAAACACACGCACGCGAGACAAACAATAACAATCCAAGCCACAAACGACGCACTATCATCCATGTTACAATAACACCAGCACACTGAAGTACTCACGAAGGTCAAATCTAAGCCTGATACATGTTTATGGTGCCACCTGAGGAAGGCACGAATAGGGTATTTGTCTGTGTTAGAAGGATAGGGAGCTGGGGGCAGGGAGGATGAGAGGCTTGACACACGGTAAACAAACGAGGTAGGTGACTGTGTCAGCTTGAAGAGGGATTCTGGGTGTTTGAAAACAGGACCGCGAAGAGGATGGCGTGCTGGAATGGTCGGTTCCCCTCAGGATCAGCTACATGTCTCCACAGGATGCAATGCACACCGAGAGTGTTACTGATTGACCTTGGTGTAGGATACGGGCGGCAGAGTACTGTTTATACTGGAGGTCTGCGTGGACATCGTCAGGAGCGTGGTTACCCCCAGGGACACCCGTGCAGGGACAGCGTTCTGGTCGAGCCAGAACGACACCCATGACACGATCACCAACATACAGCAGGGGATGTAGTACTGGATGAGGTAGTACGAGAACTCTCTCTTGAAGACCAGGTCTACGCGAAGGCAACTGTATTCACCTGTCCAACAGATAACAAAGGTTATTAAATGGGCGGCCAAGGGTGACCGAGGGTGGTACCTTAGTGTAGGACACAGGAGGCAGCGACTGGTTGATGGACGATCTCTGCGTGGACATGGTGAGGAGCGTAGTAACTCCCAGAGCCACTCTGGCTGGCGCGGAGTGTTGGTCGAGCCAGAAGGACACCCAGGACACGATCACCAACATACAGCAGGGAATGTAGTACTGGATGAGGTAGTATGAGAACTCTCTCTTGAAGATCAGCGCCACCACCAGACACGAGTATTCACCTAAACATGAGAACTGTTATTGTCGGTGTCCAGAGGGTGCTAACCCCTCACTACGAAGTCGTCTTGCGCTATTAAGGGAAAGCTGGGAAAGTTGCCAAATTGGTAACTCCTGGGATGAGAGAGAGAGGAATAGGGGGAAAGCTACCAAGTGAAAGTTGCCTAGAGAAGGGGAGCTACCAGGATTAAAAGTCAAATAACGGATTTGTTAAAAAAAATAATATGGATAAGGTAATCCATCTGTCCATCTAGTGAGGGATTCGTCCGATGAAAGAGTATGATGTACATGGGGGAAGAAAGCTGATGAATGTAAAGTCAGAATTGAAAGGTCAGAAAGGTCAAGGGCCGCGGAGTCAGGGCATAAAGTTAAAGTAGAGATCTGCGCTAACTGGGCTTAGGTTAACTCGTGTGCTAAAGTGACATCTACCTCCTCCATAGGTAACATACAGGATATGGTGATGGTGAGTGAGAGATAGTGATGGTGAGTGAGAGATGGTGATGGTGAGTGACAGATGGTGATGGTGAGTGACAGATGGTGATGGTGAGTGACAGATGGTGATGGTGAGTGAGAGGGAAGGGAGCTATCAGGATAAAGCGCTAACTCATTACGACTATATGGCACTTGGAAGAGATCAGGATAAGGATTTGGGATGGAACGTAGGGAGGAGTGAGAGATGGTGTTAAATGATATCTGGTGGTGACAGGTGAGAGATGGAGATATCAAGGGAGAGATGATGACAGCAAGTGAGAGATGGTGTTGGCAACAGAGACAGAAACAGTGAGGACAAGTGAGAGATAGTGATATAAATTAAGAGTGAGAGATAGTGACAGCAACCACTGTGACCTCTCACTGTGACAGGTGAGAGGTCACTCCTTGTCGTCACTTCTGAGCTTGTGTGAGATGAACCCTGGACCCTGTGACCTGGTAGCTGGATAGTGACACTGAGATCTCATCTCACCCTAGCAGAACAGTGATGGGGCAAGGCAGCACTCCCGCCTAAATATAGTGAGTTGTTACTTGTTGTTTTAGTAACCTCGTGTTCACTTTCACGTGTGTCTGCTCCAGAAGGTCTTACGTTCATAGATACATGTTGAAATAAAATGTCAAGACTAAGTGATCTAATTATTCTTCACCCCATGTTGAAAGAAGACATGTACATATAATGGAAAATATCCTTAATAAATTTAGCAATTGCAATAATGCTGTTGAGTTCAATTCCATGTGTATATTATATATATATATATATATATATATATATATATATATATATATATATATATATATATATATATATATATATATATATATATATATATATGTGTGTGTGTGTGTCCACAAGGAAAATGAAAGGAAAGTTCCGAACGTTTTCGTGTTTCAACACATTATCAAGGAAATATAGCTCAAAACTTTGTTTCAAGCACGCTGCTCGAGGAAGAATTTGTTTTTTCATATTGTGCTGACCTAAAGTCTTAGAGATCGTCTAAAGTTAAAGGCCCGAAACTTTCAAGCCGAAATGGAAGCAACTGAGACAGTGACAGAGAACAGAGAGACAGAATTAGAGTTGTGTGGAAGAGCCACTGATAGTAAGAATTTTCAGTAGAGGAAGATAAACAATTCAAGTAGGCTGAGACTGAAATACTCTCTCTCTCGCTCTCTCTTACCCTTAATAAAATATAATATTATAGAGAAATCAAACTAATTTTGCGGGTTTAAGACATAATTTTTTCTGATGTCGAAAAAGTCTTCTGACATCTGAACAAATATTTCACATCTGACTGTAATTGAATCCGAGTGAATCAGATGGAGGGGTGAGAATAATTATTAATATTTCTTAAATCGTGTAACATAGGCCTTCCTCAACAGGCCTATGTCCGTGGCGTATCCCAGACCATTTTGCCTACAAATTTTGGTAAGGCCAGGCTCAAACATGTGGACCCCATCTTTAAACAAACAGATATTCTTTAGTACAAAATTAGAGAGAGAGAGAGACAGAGAGAAACAGAGAGAGAGAGAGAATGAGACAGACACAGGAAAATGCAAAGACATCCTTTCACATTAATGATACATAGACAGAAGCACAGAGAGTCCAATAGATGCTAGCAAGACATGGGGCGGCTTACCAGTATTAGTCTTGCTGTTGCAATAGTCAGTGATGAACTTCTCGAGGGTGAAGCGGGGCAGATGGAGGTTCTTGGTCACCTGCACCGGGTCCACGTCCTTCCACAGGAACACCAAGTCCTCCGTCGTCCATCCGTCTGTCAGTACCGTCACGAAACATGACGAGGTGTCCGGGTAACAAAATATTAGTGACCTTCATCCAAATTTTGTAATGGGACTGAATATGCATAAGTGTGTGTATATGTTTATACGCACAAACATATATTTATGTGTGTGTGTGTGTGTGGGAGAGGCTGAAGCATGTACACATTACGGGACGATCAAAGATACGGTGGTCAAGGTAATGTGTACGTTTAGAGGGTAATATATATATGTGTGCCTATGTGTGTTTCTGTCTGTGTGAATGTAAATCCACAAATCAAGTTGAAACTGAGGATAATGAAGATTAAAGAACAAAACATTCAAATTATTATAATCAGAATATTGTTTATAAACGCTTGAAAATGTATTCCACAAAACTATATAATGTGTTAGAGAAATTATTGTTTTAGAGATATTGTGTGTAACACAAGCCATGACGCCTTGTGTAATCGAAATACGTATTTTGTTTTCAAAATATAAATTGTGAGCGTAGAAGTGTATAATGTGTGGAAGAGTCATTCGGAGTAGAAAAGGCGATAAAGTGTAAAGGAGAGAGAGAGATAATGTATAAAGGAGAGAGATAATGTGTAGAGGAGAGAGATAATGTGTAGAGGAGAGAGATAATGTGTAGAGGAGAAAGATAATGTGTAGAGGAGAGAGAGATAACGTACTGAAGGGCGCATACTCACAAGAGGCCATGAGAAGCTGACACTGCTGACGGTCTAGTGGGAACAGCTTCAGGTTCATCGGACAGGACAACGTCAGCGAGATTCTGAGGAAGAAGAAGAAGAAGGCACCCGTAATGACCAATGCCCAACCGCTTTTGTAACGTAAACAAAATAAGAACAAATCGTCAATTGATAAACACACTTTTGAATTCATTATCGGTTTTCTGTATTACAGTAAATTGCTTCACTCAATGTTCACAATGAACTGCCGAGTTGACAAGGACTATAGGAGCTGTATTAGATCCAGTATCCAAAGTTCCGTACCATCTACTCACCTGATACTGTAGAGGACGCCGCCGTCTGGGTAGATACGGATGTAGAGATTGGGAAGGATGATCTTGTGAAAGTGACCTTCCTTCTCGTTCCTGAAGAACAAATCCGGCATCCACACCATGTCCGTCTCAGTCAGCGTCAGGTACTGGATCCGTCCTGAGGGGAACACATCGCCAGAACTTTGTTGAGGACGGATACTCCTTATTGTGCAAGGGGTAGTGTGTCAAGGGTGCAGTGAAAGAGTGCGCATTGGGTCATGTATATGAAGTGGCCACTACATACTAGGATGGTGCTGGATACAGTACGGGGGAGTACTGTATCCAGTAGAAGGTAGAAAGGTAGAAAGGTACCGTGTACATAAGGTAGAAAGTCAGTGTACATAAGGTAGAAAGTCCCGTGCTTTGTCCTGGTGCGTGACTGTTAGGTGGAGGGCACCAAGTGTGAGTACAGGGGTGTTTCCAGGGTAGTGTGTACAGGAAGGTCCAGGGTAGTGTGTACAGGAAGGTCCAGGGTAGTGTGTACAGGAGTGTCCAGGGTATAGTGTTTACTACACAAATACAAAGAACAGATATACAATAACAGCAGTTGGATATACACATATGCCGAGTGAGCAATAGAATGTCAGTGAAGTGAAGACCAGTACATTCTTACCTCCTATGTTGTCGAAGGTCAGACGCTGGTCGATCCACTGCTCTCGGAAGGTGATCTGAATACTGTACTCCTGTAGGGGAACAGGTAAAGGAAGGCCAATATTAATATGGTTGAATTATAGTGTGTGTACTCACCTAGTTGTGTTTGCGGGGGTTGAGCTCTGGCTCTTTGGTCCCGCCTCTCAACCGTCAATCAACAGGTGTACAGATTCCTGAGCCTATCGGGCTCTGTCATATCTACACTTGAAACTGTGTATGGAGTCAGCCTCCACCATATCACTTCCTAATGCATTCCATTTACATACTGGTGTGTGTGTGTGTGTGTGTGTGTGTGTGTGTGTGTGTGTGTGTGTGTGTGTGTGTGTGTGTGTGTGTGTGTGTGTGTGTGTGTGTGTGTGTGTGTGTGTGCGTGCGTGTGTGTGCGTGTACTCACCTAGTTGTGTTTGCGGTGGTTGAGCCCTGGCTCTTTGGTCCCGCCTCTCAACCGTCAATCAACTGATGTACACATTCCTGAGCCTACTGGGCTCTGTCATATCTACATTTGAAACTGTGTATGGAGTCAGCCTCCACCACATCACTTCCTAGTGCATTCCATTTACTAAATGGAATGTGTGAATTTACTTGTGTGTGTGTGTGTGTGTGTGTGTGTGTGTGTGTGTGTGTGTGTGTGTGTGTGTGTGTGTGTGTGTGTGTGTATGAGTGTGTGTGTGTGTGTGTGTGTGTGTGTGTAACTCATCAAGACAGTATTGCCAAAAATAAACTACACGAAAGGAGACGACGAGAGAGAAAGAGGAGGGAAGACTCACCATTTTGACGTCGGAGATGGTCTGCACGTTGCGAATCATGATGTTGATATGGACGATGGCTGGACCTGATGAGCAGAGAATCTTGTGTCATGAGTAAAGATTGGTAAGGCAAATGAGTAAAGATTGGTAAGGCAAATGAGTAAAGATTGGTAAGGCAAAGGTATATGGCGAAAGCACTAAGCCAGTAAATCTATACAACACTTAGGAGGGGTATGAGGAAAAGGAGCTGGGATATGGGGATACAATGAAGGAATGGTGCCCAGTCACTTGGACAATCGGGGGATTGAGTTCAGAGTCTGTAAGAAGCTAAAGCGTCACTGTATTAACCGGTCTAAGTGAATAGGTTCATAAATTATTGAGTCAAATTCATGTATTCCAATACATTTTATGTATCTTTACAATCATAAAATTCTGTCTTTGGCCAATACATACTTGTTCCTTAAGAAACTTGACTTAATGAACAAATATCTGTTTGTGTACATAATATCACAAGTACATTGTGTACATAATATCTAATATCATAATAGCTCTATCTATATATCAATCCATTAATGTAACATCACTTGTATGTATATACCTTACCTGAATAAACATCTGAATCTGAATCTGATAATATTACTTTTCTGCAAAAAGTTTGTTCTTATTCCGTCCTCCTCTGTGGTACGGGCGAATGTAAAGTATAATTATTTCTTATTCTTTATTATAAGTCAAGTATAAATATTTCATATACTTTACACACACTGTGACGACCCAACGGGTTTTCTTCCTATTGGGGAGTGTTGTACATGCTGCTATGGCGGTGTGTCCACTCACAGGATGAGTGGCGCTGCCCAATAAACTCGCCCCTCGGGGCAAAATTTAAAATTTAAAAAAAATTCAACCTAGTTTCTGCATGAGGCATCATTTGTTCCTGTTGAGTACATTATATTCATGGAATTTAAGACACTTTTCACAAAATTTAGTGTCCTTCACATTCTCGTCTCATCGTAAGCGAGCGCCCCTTCAAACTTTTTTATCGCTTTCATCTTAGCCATGGCATCCGCCTCTCAAGGCCCGCCCCCTCTGCACCATGATACCTCTCCGCTTGAGTAGTAGGTGGATGGGGGGTACCCGTTACCCATGTCACGCCCACACACCCTTCTTGTCTCCATACACAACCCCTCACTGCCTCCACACACACCACAATCCCTTTCTCCCTCCCACACACGCCCCCCTTTCCCGTCCCCTATTCACATACCTCCCTATCCACATCCACCTTCAAACAGACCCCATGCTACTTATCCACACCCCTCCCCCCTCTCTACACATCCACACAACCTCCCCCCCCCCTGTCTCCACCATCACTGAAGTCATTTAACCCACAAACTATCTCGATCATTGTCCTTAAAACGAAAAATTTTCATCTTCAATGCAAATAATAATGCCTATGAACTCGGAGTTATAGATAATCACATCTGCAGACTTCTTGAAGGAGAGACTTACGGTAGTAGCCTCTTCTTCACAGAGAAGGGAAGACGTGTTCCCCTTCAAGAACACGGCCATAGGTCCGCCCTCGACCCTCCTATGTTACTCCCGATAAAATCACCATTAATCGGGTTTAATGAGGCTAACCTTAAGCGTCTGTCCGCCAACCTCGAGTAGGGATATAAGGGACATCCTCCCTTATAGATTATTGTGTCCGCTACTCCCGTATTTACTACTTCACTCGGAGATGTAGTTAGGCAAGGAAGGTTGTAGTTGACCATTGGTTCAAAACAGGTAAACTACCAATAATGATCAAACTGCCTCGTTTAAACCACATAGCCTGTTGCTACTTAATGCCCTGAATACTCATATGGGAAGTACCCAAACCATGGACTACCGGTGTTTTCTTAAGTATTTAACATATATTTTTTTCATTTATTTTACTCTAAATATTTAAAAAATATATATGAAATATATCGTACATTTGACCTCGTCTCGGGTTATATCATGTGAGTATACAACCCGTTCTCGCACTTTCGTATAGTCAATAGTGACTTATTTAATACGTGCTTATGTCACATACTTAGCATAATAGTTTACCTTGAAAAGCTTCATAGAAAACACCGACCTTACCTAACCTTCTTAGTAGGTTAAGTAATAATTGTAATTACGAAGCAATAAGATGCTTATCTTAACATACTAAGAAGGTTAGGTAAGGTCGGTGTTTTCTATGAAGCTTTTCAAGATAAACTAGTATGTTTAGTATGTCACATACGCACGTATTTAATAAGTCAATATTGACAGTAAGAAAGTGCGAGAACGGGTTGGAGTATAACCTTATTAGAGCTCAGGCGTCTTCCTTCAGCCTGTTCTAACGATTTGATTAGCGTCTAATTTGAAGTGATTTGCATGAATAATAATTAGTAATGCTTTATCAAATATCTTTCAGCTTGGTTCAGGCTCTTATATCGCAATATAAATGTTAATCAGATGCAATTCTTGCAAACAAAACATTAATTCAATATTATAAATGTTTAGAGCGACTCTTAACCCATATTCACTCATTTTTGTAGAAATGTTACAAATTAAAATGCAGAATTTTGAGACTGTTTAGAAGAAGCCTGAAGACAATAGGCTTCTGGAAATATGAACTCAATTCAGTCACCCAACTTTGCTTAATGCAGCGAGGTTCTTAATTTTAAGATAGAAGAGACTTACAGGTTCGTTAGAAAACGTTTCCTCTTCCAGAGAATCATGAATATATATATATACCGTACTGAGAATACATAGCAAATCATTATTACAAATTAATAAAGAAGATTTCCAGTTACACTCACCATTTGCGTGAATCTTTACTTACCATTCAAGACTAACTGGTAAACTTGGACATACTGGTATATTGTCTGACTGCCCTGGAAACACAAACCGAAACTGTCTATTTTCCGCTTGTTATAACTTGTAATAAAGTGTTTACATGTTGGCTTAACGTGTTTATGACGTATTAGAATGATGTTACAACTTGCTATATTGGTTGTTAAAACTGGTTAGAAAGTGTTAAATCTTGTTCAAACGTTGTACCAACGTCGTAGTTTCGGTGTGTGTTTGGCGGGTGGTATACTTGGACATCCTGGTATATTGTCTGACTGCATTGTATGTCCAAGTTTACCATGGTATACTTGGACATACAGTTGTAGGAACTTACCGTTATATTGGGATCTATAGTTACTAGACGTATGGGTTTACCGAGACTTACCGGTATCATTGGCGCCGGCCGGACGAATGCGCTTGTCGTAGTTGGCCGGGCCGATAATTTCGTCGATGATCTGCTTCTCCCGAGCCCGGAAGTTGGCCGAGGAGATCTCGCTGTCAGGAGAAGACACCATTCAGTCAAACTGTCCTCTTAAAAAGAACGTCGCTTTTGGCCGTTTGCCCGTATGGCCGAATATGGACGTAATTTGAAAATGAAAATAAATTTGGGATTTTTTTTTTCAACAACAGTAAGTTAAGGGTCCTCTGATAGGTTAGGTGGGCAGGAAATTCTCATAAAGTTTCAAAACGGTAATTAAAAAAACGGTAATTAAAAGTGTCCTCTTCTAACCTTACCGAGTAAGCCGGACGACTCAAACAGAAAACGGAACAGTACGTCACTTTTGTGAGTCGATTTCATTTCAAATTACGTCCAAATTTGGCCATAGTGCGCATACGAGCCAAAAGTGACGTTATTTTTAAGAGGACGGGTTGAGTCAGTACCGGTTGGGGTCCGGTACTGACTGGTAGCTTGGGAGAATTGGACTGTCAAATCTGGGGCTGTTTATGAGAGACGACGATTGTGGTACCGGAGTGGGAGAACCAGTACCGGAGTGAGAACCAGTACCGGAGAATGAGAACCAGTACCGGAGAGTGAGAACCAGTACCGGAGAGTGAGAACCAGTACCGGAGAGTGAAAACCAGTACCGGAGAGTGAAAACCAGTACCGGAGAGTGAAAACCAGTACCGGAGAGTGAAAACCAGTACCGGAGAGTGAGAACCAGTACCGGAGAGTGAGAACCAGTACCGGAGAGTGAGAACCAGTACCGGAGAGTGAGAACCAGTACCGGAGAGTGAGAACCAGTACCGGAGAGTGAGAACCAGTACCGGAAAGTGAGAACCAGTACCGGAAAGTGAGAACCAGTACCGGAGAGTGAGAACCAGTACCGGAAAGTGAGAACCAGTACCGGAAAGTGAGAACCAGTACCGGAAAGTGAGAACCAGTACCGGAGAGTGAGAATCGGAATAACCAAGTGAGTGTTATCTCCACGATAACACGCCCTACAAGATGTTATCGCTACAAGCTCATAATCTACAAGTATTTTATTTGTGAACTGAGAAGTATGATAACTCTGATCACTCAAGAAATAATACAAGCTAAGAACGGGATGAAATACAAGCACACGATACCTACAAGTTTAGCTTCAGTTAAGCACCAAGTCACAAATAAAGACAGAGCAAGCACTATACAGGTACAGTTGATGTCAAGGACAAGGAACATCCAGGACAATGGAAATATATACATAATCACGATACAACATACCTATTGTTTCAAGCGTTAGCTACACACTTAGTAGAATCACACAAGCACGGAAAGAAAAACATACTCAAGGAAGCAGAAGTATAGTAGCACCTGTCTTAAGTAGAAGCAAGGGGACAAGGTAAAGCAGAAACTTGTAGACAGGTGTTTTTGTCTCTTACTTGCCATCCTCTCTCATGGCCAGACGGCTGCAGAGATTAAACACCTGTTACTAGTTCCGATCCCTGTGTTTTTTCCCCCCTCTCAGTTACATTAGAAGAAACACCTGTTAAACTAGCACCGACCCCGGCCAGCTCTTTACCATCAGGTTTGATAAATATATATATATATATATATATATATATATATATATATATATATATATATATATATATATATATATATATATATATATATATATATATATATATATATATATATATATATATATATATATATATATATATATATATATATATATATATATATATATATATATATATATATATATATATATATATATATATATATATATATATATGTATATATATTACGCAGAAATTGAGAGATCTTGAGGTGAATTATTTTAACGACAGTGAGCGAAACACTATGAATAAATCAGGTAAGCTGATATTTGAGAAAAGACGAATCCTTGTGGTACTGGTGTGTGCCTCAGAGCCTATTAGGGTTCACGAACTTATATGTTTAAACAGGAAGCCGGAAAAAATATATTATGAATAAAATAACGTAAAAATAATTAATAAAATACTTTTTTGCAGGAAGAGGAATTTGATTAAATGGAATGTTTCCCTGTGTCTGCCGTCTATGTTATGATGGTGATAATCCTCTGTCTGCTACCACTGATGATGAATAATATAATGAACCTGTCAGAGGCATGACGGATGCTTTCCTGCTGTTAGAGGCAGGACTGAGTTTTTTTTCCAAATGATTTGTTTACCATCAGAGGCGTGAGGAACACAATCTTACGTCTGATGTTCTATTGCACAGCCGGTTCTCCTAAAATTTCCTAACGTCAAAAGAGTGTCGTACTAAAGTACCCTTATCCTAACCTACCAGAGGACTCAAAGCAGAAAACGGGACAGTATGTCAATTTGGCGAGCCAATACCATATTCTAGTACGACAATGTCTGGTCTTTGTTAGACTATACGTCAAAATGCAACGTTCTATTATGGGGGGACGGGTTGCATTACATGTGTTTCGCGTCGAAAATATGGCTTAGCTCCTTTAGTGTCTCAAGACCCAGCTGTGTCGCGGTTAGAAATAAAAGGTCTTAGTCGATGCAAACCCGAATCATGAGAGAAAGTGAAATAATGAGACATTGAAAGAGAGAGAGAGAGAGAGAGAGAGAGAGAGAGAGAGAGAGAGAGAGAGAGAGAGAGAGAGAGAGAGAGAGAGAGAGAGAGAGAGAGAGAGAGAGAGAGAAATAATTCGTTAAACATCAGAAAGAGAGTGAAGCAAACTCACACATGTACTTCACGTCCGGGATGCTCCCGGACGCAGCTTCGAATCCTCGTCACGGCCCTTGTAGATTTGTTCAAGTGAAGTACATATTACAAAGAACAAAATCCTGATGAAAAAAGGATATAAAGAAAGGAAAAAAATGTAAGAGATAGAACGTGATAAAACGCTAAGAGATAAAGAAATTAGTAAAAAGTAAATTGATAAGAGTTTCTTTACACCGTGTGAGCAGAACACAACCAGCAACCACAGAGAGAAGAAGAAAGAGGAGTCGATCTACAGCTCAAAATAACCAACACTACAGATTATCCACACTCGAGAGTAACTATAGTTATTACAACTACAATGATAAAGTTATAAAGAAAGACACAGAAACACACACTCAGGTATTATATCAATGTTGGCCAGACCACACACTAGAAGGTGAAGGTACGACGACGTTTCGGTCCGTCCTGGACCATTCTCAAGTCGATGTGTCGAAAATAATTTTTCAACGCATCACCTGGACCATTCTCGACTTGAGAATGGTCCAGGACGGACCGAAACGTCGTCGTCCCTTCACATTCTAGTGTGCGGTCTTGTCATCATACCTTAGCCACGTTATTGTGACTCATCGCCTGAATATATCAATCATTATAGGCATCATGCAAGAACTTTATAGATGATTTTCAAAAAAATAAATCTTTAGAATTTTTTTTAGGAATAATTCATGCTACAGAGTAATGTTTAAAAAGAGCGCCTGCTTATATACAGCCAGTACAAAAAAAATCGCAGACAAAATCCAACTTCACAAAGAAATATGATTGAAACATGTGAATTAGACGTGGAACATATTTGAAAAAAGTCTAAGAGTCTCGTAAGTTGAATGTGATCAAAACAAAAGCAATTTAAGCAGCGAGATACACTGAAAATATGATGTAATATCCAAAGCGGAGAATTTACAATGATGAGGGCCCATGTGTTTCATAGTGAACAGGAAGGTACTAATATTTCGATGCAGGGATTCTTAGAACGGGTCCAGGACCTTGACCAACGGGTCTAGGACCTGGAACAACGGGTCCAAGGCCTGGAACAATGGGGTTCAGGACCTGGAACAACTGGTCCAGGACCTTGAACACCGGTGTCCAGGACCTTGAACACCGGTGTCCAGGACCTTGAACAACGGGTCCAGGACCTTGAACACCGGTTCCAGGACCTGGAACACCGGTTCCAGCACCTGGATACAAGCTGGTGGGGACGACAAGAGCTATTATTGTGAGAGAAGAGGAGGGTCTCAAGTCTCCATCTAGCACACAATCCATTGTAACGATAATTACCACATCGTTGACAAGAGAATGAAGATCATTAGGAGTAGTGGTCTGACGCCCACGGCTCCTCCCCTGGTCACGCCCACGCCCATAGCGTCGGCGGTCATCCTGCAGAGGAAGAAGACGAAAGGTGTCGTCAGAACAATAGATTAATCGTGAGATTAAAATAGACAATTGAAAAAAAATCTTGCACCATATTTCTGTCAATTTTGAGCCCCATGTTTACTAATAACTAATGTTAGAGGATAACATATCCACCCTATTACTGTTATCTTGTTAAATTATAACAATGTTGAGAACAGAAATTGTAGGTACATCCGTTGATATCATAAGTTAGAAGTGAGAAGTGTAAAAGAGAATTCGGCAAGTGAGAAGCTGGCTGAGCTGCTCACTTGGAAGCCATCACTGGACGAGGTTATGGTTATGTTCCCCAAGGGGTTCCCAAGGGGTTCCCAAGGGATTCCCAAGGGGTTCCCCCAGGGGTTCCCCAAGGGGTTCCCCAAGGAATCCTCCCCAGGGGTTCCCAAGGAATGTCGGAACTGTTAATGAACAATTATATGCCCTGTGTTCAGAAAATTTTGGGCCGGCTATCGCGGGAACTTTATACCCCAATCTAAGCATCACCAGATCTATGTTTATAAGAATAAATCAATTTAATTTATCTTCAATAAGAATAAATTTGCGATTAATCTATCTACGTTACTAAAAGATTTGTTGTGGTCTAAAGATGGACGCCAAATAAGACGCTCTCCTAGTTTAGAACTTTTCAGAACTAATTGTTGTTCATAACACTTGTTGACAGCATATTGGTCAAAGATGTTGATTTCATCTGAAAATTCTAATTAATATTTCACTTATACATGTATTGGATGTTCCTTCACCGTCATTCAAACACTACTGAAGTGTAGTAAGTTTTTCACCCTGGGCAGGGTTCCACCCTGCACACTGGTTTCTCAGTGTGACCACACTCTACACCACGACATAGTCTACTTTTTAACAGTCTCCGTGGTGCAGTGGTAAGACACTCGCCTGGCGTTCCGCGAGCGCTTTGTCATGGGTTCGTATCCTGGCCGGGGAGGATTTACTGGGCGCAAATCCTTAACTGTGGCCTCTGTTTAACGCAACAGTAAAATGTGTACTTGGTTGTAACAACGATTCTTCGCGGCGGGGATCGTATTCCAGGGACCTGCCCAAAACGCTACGCGTACTAGTGGCTCTACAAGAATGTAACAACTCTTGTATATATATCTAAAAAACTTGTGGCAGTGTAGTGATCTAGGGTGTAGGCTCGGGAGTACCAAACGTCCGGGTTCGAATCCTCATCATGCCTCCTAATGATTTTCTCAATACAAATATCAATAATTAGATTCCACTGAGGTGCTGTAACGTTATCTCCGGAGAGACTATTCGCAATATTTATTGAACCTGACCAAGTGTGTTGTGTTTGGAGTTTTTATCGTGATATAAACACTAGCTTCTTTGTTTTGCCCTGATTATGTGATCAATATATCACGAGATATTTCGAACATTGCTTTCTTAACTGGTAATTAATATATTTACACTTGCAACGAATGGAATGTTTTTCAATTTTATTCACTGATAACACTGTCTACTGAGTTAGAGTGATCAGTAGAGCGACAAATTCGCTTCACGCCGGGTTGTCGTTCAATCCCGGCGACTCTTTCATCCTACGTCAATCTTCCCATAACTATATCACCCCTGGAAGGGATATCATGATAACATAAACACTATAAAATTATAGTATATTTTACATTGATATATTTAAAACCTGCAGCAGCCCGTGCGTCTGGATTGAATCAAGATCTGTAGTAGAGTTGGAGCTTCTACAAAAGTTTTGTAATTCTAATTCAAGAATGATGTCCATGAAGACAATATATAATTGATACAAAAGTCTACCCAAGATATGCCAAGTAAAAGAAAGGGGGGAATTTAAATTAAATATAATGTGTAAATTGTATAATAACTCCCTGTTGTTCATTATAAAATTACATAGTAAAACTTATCTCTTTTTATTCCAATGAAATTATTAAATAAAACAGAAAAGCTGTGGACTCATATTTTCACAATCAGGTGACACAAAATCCTACTTTATCGGATTATCACAATCAAAATAATAATCCTAGAGGCACTTCAACAAAAGGGGGTTAACATACCCATTGTAAGAGGATTGCCTACTCACGCTTACAAGGGTGGTAATGGGACACAGAGGCTAATTATGTGAGAGGTAATGGAACACATAGGTTAATATATGTGAGTTGTAATGGAACTCAGAGGTTAATATCTGTGAGATGTAATTTAACACAGGCTAATATATGTGAAAGGAATTGGGACACAGAGGCTAATATCTGTGGGAGGTAATGTGAGAGAGGCTAACATCTGTAGCAGGTATTGGGACACAGGCTAATATCTGTGGGAGGTAATGTGAGAGAGGCTAACATCTGTAGCAGGTATTGGGACACAGGCTAATATCTGTGGGAGGTAATGTGAGAGAGGCTAACATCTGTAGCAGGTATTGGGACACAGACACTAATATCTGTGGCCCTCATACCGTCACTAGACATTCCTCATACGGTTTCCATTTACATTCCTCATACACAAAATATATATATAACCTTTTTCGTTCAAATTATTCAGCAAAGATTGGTGAGTAGATAGGAGTGTAAAGCGGGATGTGTGTAGAGAGAGGGAGTAGAGGTAGAGAGAGGGAGTAGAGGTAGAGAGAGGGAGTAGAGGTAGAGAGAGAGGAGTAGAGAAGGGTGTGTGTGAGACAGACAGGTGTGTGTAGAGGGGGAGTCTATGAAGAGTGTGCAAGTGCTGAAAAGGTCCTAGTGACAGAGCAAGAGGGTGGAATAGAGTGGGCAGATGCTGTGACGATCGCAGTGGCGGAATATGAGAGGGGGGGGGGGGAAGCATATAAGAAAGGTGTTGGAAAGATGGTAGTGACAGGGTAGTGGGGTGAGTTGAAGAGAAGTGAGGGGTGATCTGCCATTTCACCTTTAATGGTCACCTACACACCTCTCCTACTCTCTTTTCCCCTCCTCCTCCTCCTCCTCGTTCCTCTCTCTCTCTCTCTCTCTCTCTCTCTCTCTCTCACAATAACCACCGCAGCCATGATGTTGACGTCATTTGAAACATACAGCCTCTCCTGATTTTCCTTAAATTTATATATAACTGATTTTCTCCTGCTTTTCCCTCTTCGTTCGTCTATATTGAGCAGAAAACATGCTATGAAGCACAGGTTCAGGTGGATATTACACCTGCAGTTCCCACCAAGTAATCAGCTTATGATATGTGTTTTTTATCGTACTAGAGCTTACGACCGCCTACCAACCCGCAGATCGAACGACAGCGATTCTAATTAAACCAAAAAATCGTACATTCCCATTTGTATTCCTTCAAATGCTTATGCTAGTATACCTACGCGAACCAAAATATGAAAAAATGAAAAACAAGAAGACTTTAATAAACCAACTGAAATGAAATTTGGAAAAAAACAATGACAGTTCTAAAAGTGTCATGTCTAGAGGATCGAAGTTAGGTTTGTAATTTTCATGTTAGGCAAAACTCCTCACTTTTATTGCTTGTCAAATCGTGAGTATTGGTTATCTTTCTTAGTGCTCAGATAACCAAAAACTTAATTGTGTAAAATGTAAAAAATATAAAGCAGTTTATATCGCATATAAACAGTTTATTGTTTATTATATATACAGTTTATTGAACGGGTTTCTACAAAATAGAAATTTAAACGAGCGACAAGAGGTAGAGTTCAGTCATGTTCTCTGTACCGCATTAACCAGTAAAGTCTCATCAATCTATCTTAAGGAAAGTCATGTATACAGTGGTTCACCTGATACAAAATATATATATTTTGTTTACTCATAAAGTCCGATTTGAGACCTGGTTTCTCTTTTCTCTCTATTTATTGCCTGTCTCTACTTCCTCATCACAATCGACTTGAGTATGGTCCAGGACGGACCGAAACGTCGTCGTCCCTTCACATTCTAGTGTGTGGTCTGGTCAACATACTTTAGCCACGTTATTGTGACTCATCGCCTGCACCTGGTTTCTCTGATATTTGCCTGAGCAGTGAGGCTATTTGTGGTAGCAGCCCGCACGACTAGGTTAAACAAGCACTTATAAACATGCAGAATGCGTGTGAGACAACTCTACAAGCTTTCCATTAACAAAGAAGTCTAGTTTAGATCGAATGGTCTGTTACTGTTTGTAATCCATAGTAATCATTTGTAATCCCGTTTGGTGGTCTGCTCAATCAGACTGTGAGTGCACGTAGCTCGCACTCCTACTTAGGGACCATGGGCAAAAATTTACGAAGCAGTTTCGCAAACACTTACGAACCTGTACATCTTTTCTCAATCTTTGGCGGCTTTGTTTACAATTATTAAACAGTTAATGAGCTCCGAAGCACTTGGAGGCTGTTTATAACAATAACAACAGTTGATTGGGAAGCTTTCATGCTTGTAAACTGTTTAATAAATGTAACCAAAGCCGTCAAAGATTGAGTAAAGATGTATACACATTCGTAAGTGCTTGCGGAACTGCGTCGTGAATCTGGCCCCATATCATTAGTTTTGCCAACCTTCTCTCCACACGTTCAAGTCAATATAGCTTGTATAGTACGGAAAGTGAAGCTACACTACACAATCTAAATATGGCCCAATCAAGACAATTTAAAGCTGAAGACTGATATTTCATGTTATCTTGAGGTTATCTTGAGATGATTTCGGGGCTTTAGTGTCCCCGCGGCCCGGTCCTCGACCAGGTCTCCACCCGCAGGAAGCAGCCCGTGACAGCTGACTAACACCCAGGTACCTATTTTAATGCTAGGTAACAGGGGCATAGGGTGAAAGAAACTCTGCCCATTGGTTCTCGCCGGCGTCCGGGATCGATGCCGGGACCACAGGATCACAAGTACAGTGTGCTAAAGTAATCAACTTGAGAATGGTCCAGGACGGACCGAAACGTCGTCGTCCCTTCACCTTCTAGTGTGTGGTCTGGTCAACAATGTATATTATATGCTATTATCTCCTTCAATACTTTGCTCCGTCCCCTTTCCCAATTATCATTAC